CCCCCTCCCCCCCCCCAAAAAAAAAAATGTAATCACATAATATTCCACTCTATGCTGTGTTTGTTTCTGTGTTTTACATGTGTAAAATTATCAACAGAAAAGCTCATTTACACATCTGAACCTGTGAAATGGTTTTATTGTGCATGTAATGTAATGCAGCAATTCCGACTCATTTATGCATTTTATTTGCTTAAAACTAAATGTTTATCGTTATCTACAGGGGTGCCAACATGTTCGCATGACGTCATGCACTGTGTCGTGATTCATTTGGGGTCCTGGCTTTCCACACAAGTTTTTAATCACGAAATCCAAGTCCAAGTGGCATTCTGTCACACTTTTTCAAGCTGCTTTGAAGTTGGGAATTCCAATGTTCTCATCTAATTTCATTTGCACACATAAACAGCTTTTCGCTTGTGCTATTCTAAATCGCTGCAGTCATCAACAGTGCCTGAAAGGCACATCAGCATCTGCTACATTAGCATAACCTCCGTCAACCATCTGTTGAATGCACACCACCAAGATGCCTACGGTCATGATGACTGCGAAAACAAAAATACCAGCTCCAGCAACCATGAGCGGCGTCCTGTGACCGCAGCCTCTGTGGAATTAGTGCGACGGGCGTGTGGCTTTGATACAGCGCTGCTTCATCTTCATACACAGTCAGGGTGAGCCCCCCTCACAGAAACAACCTGGCCTCACGCCCGCCACCTCCAATAGAGATGCCCGAAACAGAGGCTCTTTGATCACCTCGTTTGATGTTTCTGAAATAATAGACATCACACCAGGCATCGCTCAGGTTCTGCCCAGCTCTTTTTTTACTGAATTTTTTTTTTTTTTTTTGAGGTTTGGTTCGGATGTTTAGCAGTGAGTTTGAGCTGTTAGCGGTGCCAGCACCCATTTGAAAAGCTGTGAGCGAGTGTTGAGACAGCTGTGAAACCGTGTTGAGACAGCTGTCTGAAGGAGGCGTGTGTGTGTGTGTGTGAGCAATGGTGACCACCTCACCTCTGCATTCATCACACTGGCATCCGGTCTGTATAAACCTCTGTTTTACTGTGTTGAACTGAACTAAAGTGCTTTCTCATTTAAACACAGATTGGATGGAGAAGCAGTTTTAGTAAGCGTCTTGTTTTACCATGCTGAGATGTTATTAGCTTTTCTTTCTACCAGTATCTGATAGGGACACACAAATATCAGTTATTGGCTGATATTTTGGTAACTCTTCACAATAAGGTCCCATTAGTTTAAGTAAGTTAATGCATTAAAGGCATAGTTCACTCAAAAATGAAAAATCTGTCATTATTTACTCAACCTCAAGTTGTTCCAAACCTAAAAGACGATAGTTTGGAAAGTGTTGGTAACCAAACAGCAGTAACCAAACCATTGAAGTCCATAGTTTGCAAAAATTAAATAAATAAATACATTTTTTTTTTTAAATGGAAGTCAATGGCTACCAGCAGCTGTTTGGTTACCAACATTGTTGAACAGAAGAAATAAATTCATACAGGTTCGGAACAAAATGAGGGTGAGAAACCGATGACAAAATGTAAATTTTTAGGTTAACTATCTCTTTAACTCACAATGATGAATACATTTATTACTGTATTTTTTTATCTTTGTTAATGTTAATTAATAAAAATACGACTGTTCATTGTTAGAACAGAAGAAATAAATTCATACAGGTTCGGAACAAAATGAGAGTGAGAAACCGATGACAAAATGTAAATTTTTAGGTTAACTATCTCTTTAACTCACAATGATGAATACATTTATTACTGTATTTTTTTATCTTTGTTAATGTTAATTAATAAAAATACGACTGTTCATTGTTAGTTCATGTTAACAAATTTAGTTCACTAATTTTAACAAATGGAAACTTAATGTAAAGTGTTACCTTTTTTATTAAACTTATTGGTGTTGTCAATATTGAATATTTAATTAGTTTTACATTTAGATGACTTCTGCATTGGTCTGACACTCACTAGAAGTTGATTTTTAAAATCGCAAATTTGTAATATCGCAAATTAACGTCTGGTTTAATGCATTTTTTGGGTGATAAATAATACTAGTAATTTGACTACCGATGACTGTTCGCACCATTTCAGTGCTAATTTTTCATTGTGCGTCTTTAGTAAATCCTGACAGTAGATTTTTAAGTTTGTTTGCACTGTCGCAAGCTGTTAGTAAATATGGCCCGTAGTGTTTTATAAATTCAAATTTATTTATAATTTAGATTTTTTTTTTTTTTCAAATAAACTATTTATTGATTATTGCCCATAACTTTGTCCGTAAAATAATTATTGACTTATCAATATTGTAAATTGTAAATGTGGTCTGATTGCATAACATGATTTGGGACGAGTTTTGCACTATGAAATGCACAACACTTGACATCCCATAGGAAAGAAAATCCCAAATGGGATTTTAGCGTCTTAATTGTTTCTCCTTGACAGCATTGATATTGACCTGTCCCTATTGAATTTAATTCCCACCTCTATGCCCACACCTAAAGCCCTTCCTCTTCCACCGGTCCCGTCTGGCTTGTTGGAATTCCTGGTTCTGTCTAATACCCCAGACCTTCCTACTCTGCTAATCCCATCCAGCTAGTGATGCTGCTCCTTGGTGTCACTGTGGTCCTCTGTTCCTTTGGCTCTGCCATTGTCCTCTGTCCCGCCAGCTTGACCTCGGTCCTCCGAGCCTGTGACGTCACCCTGGTCCAGGCCTCCTTGGTCTCCTGCCTCAGGTTTCTGATTCCAGTGATTTGCTATGGTCAACAATTCCTTGGGCTCCACTGTGGATCTCCATCCCACTGGCTCTGCCATAGTCATCCACTCCACCGGTTCCACCACGGGCTTCTCTTTCACTGGCTCCTCCATGAGGGTCTCTAGCTCTGATGTGGTCCCTGGCCTCCCTCCCCCTTCACTCTCTACTTCTTCATTATTAGTGTTACTCATAGGCGTTCATCACGTCTTGTTTGGTTTAGTTCCTGTTTTTTTAGTTTTTATAGGTGTGTCCTTGGTGGTTTCTGATTAGTTACACCTGTGTCTTGTTTATTTCCTAGTTATTCCAGTGTGTGTTTCAAAAGCACTCTGTTTGTTCATTGAGTTGTCAGTCGTCTTTGTGTACAAAGCTGTAACATGTGCATTTATCTTTACCTTTTGGATTACTAGGAATGCTTGGATTACCATCTTTTGTTTATTAACGAAGACCTGCTGCATTTAGATTCTTCACTCAACTTCTCCCTGTCTGTAACTGTTACAGTATGTCAACGTTTTCATCGAATTTTGTCAGAGACGAAGTTGATTAATTTTTTACAGCTGAGAATTATGTCTCATAAGCTGTGAAAGAGCGAGGAAATGATGACACGTGGTCATAGTCTTGTAATGATTAGTCACGTCCTTTAACACAAGTGTTACACTTCTGCAGAATGTTACTCAATAATCTCACAATTCTTGCTCCCTCACTTTGAAAGTGAAACTTGACAGGAGTCCTAAAACTATCTACTGCTGATCATAATACACACAATAAAACCCAGTGGAAGACATATAATTGTGACATTTTGTCACAAGTTGTTAAAACACACTTTTGCTCAGACTGTTCTCTCAGTGAAGGGTGTAACATTTTGGAATTCATTGCCTGTTTATTTAAAATCTGCTGCAAATTATAATAATTTTAAAAAAGCTATGAAATCTTGGTTGATTCAGCAACAAACTTGTAGTCATATTTAGTTTTTTTTTGTGTATTTCTTGCTGTTTACTGTAACTGTTTGTAACTATAATTTATAAAAGCCCTCCTAGGGTCAAGTGTTGCAAATTAGCTTCAGCTACAAGCACTATGTAACACGCATGGGATGACTGTTATTTCGGTTTCATCTATGTTTATTGTATCTGTCCCTAAACAAATAAAACATTAAATAAATAAAAATAAAATAAAATATTACAGGCTGTCCAATGAGCCGTTGAAATGGCTGATTCATCAGTCTCATATGCAAAAAAGGCTTTATAGCAAATCACACTAAATTCTAAATTAAACTAAATTCAACCGTTCCACTTGGAAGTCAATCGTGGATCATATTACAGCAAGTTTTGTGCAGTTGTACCTTCTTAGACTACAAGCAGTGTTACTGGGTGTCTGTAAAACACATAGACTTTCACAGTACCTGCAGCTGTGAATTGTGATCTGTCAGGTTGGTGTTGTAGTTCCAGCTGGCCTCTGTGCTGAAGTAGAAGACCTCCTCGGCCGTTGAGTTGTAGTCGCTCACGAAGCTCTCAGCCCCCGCCTCTGTCATAGGATAATCCCCCGGGATCCACTCGGGTTTCAGAGCTGCGCTCGTGCTGATGAGAGTCAGCAGCAGCACTGCCCGGGACATAATGGACCACAGTTGCGAAGTGAGGAATAGGAAAAGTGCAGGTATGAAAGTTCCCGGAGGAGCCGTCTTGTCACTGCTGGATGCTCCTGTCCAGTGGTTGTTTCCTATCTGTGTCCTTCCTTCCCCCTTTCCCCTGTTGATCAGGCACAGAGCAATCACAGGCGGCTCTTTTAAGTGCCAGTTTAACCCAGCCCTCCCTCACTCTTGAAAGATACACACAGTTGCTCTCATTCTCTCTCTCTCTCTCTCTGTCCCTCCTACTTTCTCCTTCCTCCTCTCTTCCAAGCTCCCCCTCTACCTTTTAGCCTCTCCTAACTTCTTCTGGACACCCAGTTTTTATAGAAAGAAAAATCATTTCTTAATCTCTCAGTTGTTTTTTCTAAGACAGCAGTGATATTCTTAGACCTTGCATGCGTTTCAGAAAACATCTTAATAGTGTCTCCAACTGTATGCTGAGGTTTCCAAGACTTTCAGTCAAAAGGCTGGATATAAACTCAAAGATTTATCATTGTTCTGCTTAGAACAAATGATAATTCATGTTATAGCTCTTCTTAGTGTATATCAGCATTTGTGTCTGTTTTTATTAAAGAGAAAATATGCTATTTCTGTCATTATTTACTCACCCTTATGTCGTTCCAAACCTGTAGGCCATTCTTTCTGTTTGGAAGAGTTGGGAGAGTCTTCTGTGCAACATAAAAGAACATATGTTGAAGATTTTCTTTTAAAAAATAGTTTTTGTCCATATAACAGATTTGGAATGACATCATAGGAAGTAAATGATGATGACAGCATTTTTATTTTTGGGTGAACTGTCCCTTTAACATTCAATATTTCCCTTGTGAAAAAAGAAGTGGGGTAACTACTTAAAGTGAGTACATTTGTATGACTATATGTTTCTTATCACACTTAAGTTTTTAAAACTTAAAAAAAATAAATAAATAAATAAAAATCATAAAGATTTGAAATTCTTTAAAGAAGTACACTTATTTTGATGTGCTGACTAACATTTTAGTAGAAATTACAGTGAAGCATATTTTTGTTTACCATCAATTTTTGTCAGTTACAAAATGACATAATTAGGAAAGGGTTTTCACAGCAGGTTCCCCAAATAACTTTTCTGTGAACAGTTCTTTAAAGAACCATTTTTTTCTAATCTAAAGAACCTTTTTCCACTATAAAGAATTAACCTTTTGTGGAATGGAAAGGTTCCATAGATGTTAAAGGTTCTTCATGGAACCATCAATGCCAATAAAGAACCTTTAGTTTTAAGAGTGTAAAGATGTACTTAAGTGGGTCTAAAAGCACTCTTTAGTTCAACTAAATGCATTTAATATACATGTAAACTAATACATTTCAATATAATTGCAAATTACATGCTATTACAAAAATGTTATATTCAGTCAAAAGTACTCTTCAGTTAAAAGTATGCTAAAGTGTACTACTTTTTCACAAGAATTTCCTAGGATGCTATAATTTCTGCTTTGTCTGGCTTTACCTTTTCTGAAGGCATCAGCGTTACTGTTGTTGTTGTAGATGATCTGGCAGTCTGAGGCATTACGTAGCACAGCTGACAAGCTCCAGCTCTTCAGTCACTGTTCACTCAGTGATTTTTCGGGGAGAGGCAGAGTTAAATCTTAAAGTGATAGATAAGAGAAGCAGGTAGATGCAGTTTAAATAGCTTCTCACACTATAATGATTACATTTGCCATGTTGCATGAAGGGCTCTGAAGAGCATTTTTGAATGTCAAGTATTTTAATATTTATACAAACTGAAACTGTTCCTTTGGTCCACTGTAGCAAAGCCCTATAAGGCAAGTCAGTCATCTTGGTGGCCAAAAATGATTTTTTTGATAAGTTGTAAATAAAAGATTATCGAAGTGTGTTGTACAAGAAAATATTATTTCAGTCTTCAACCCATGTTTAATTCAATTAATTTAATTTGTTTCTTGACGATTCTTTGTAATTATTTGTGAAATTTACTAGCAATTTCTGAGTGAAAATTGTTTCTACACCATTTTTTTTATTGTATTTGCTGCAACTACGTTGTTATTTTTCTCCATTGATCACAATTCTAAATGGGTATTGTATTCAAAACTAACAATATATACGTTATTCTTATATTTACTTTGTAAAAATCCAACCCGATCTCATGAAAGTGCGTATAAATAGTACGCCAAATAAAAACGAAAACTCGTGGTATTGATACGCAAAAATGGACTTTGGCGTGTATATGCTACGTGATGGGTAGGTTTAGGGTTGTGGGGTAGATGCGTGTCATATGTACGCCAACAAATTTCGTATCATATGCACGGCAACAAATTTCGTATCATATGCACGCGAAAACTGCGTATTATATGCACGCCAAACACATGCGTATCATATGCACGCCAAA